GACCTGACATTATTTCTGGTTTACCCGTCCCTCGTATGTTGTGGTGGCCTCGACACGGACCAGTCCGGGTTTGTTAGACATTGTAGAGGGTGGACCGGGTGGTCCGGGTGGAAGGGAGGAGCGAGATGCGACAATTGTATACCCGCCAGGTGCTGGCATGACACATCATTCGCTAGTAGAAGGCATATGATAACTTTAAATATGATAGCCTTGACCTCGTCCCTCAGGTCTCGAATTCCCAGCCCACCCACCCTTTTTGGTTGGGTTATGTATTTCCACGTCACCCTTTTGATGCATTTTGTCATCTCATGATTGCTTCTCCATAGGTAGGCAGACAGGGCTGTCCATAGGTGGTCCAGATGACCTTTCGGGATTTCCCATAATGCAGTTTTATACCAGATTGTGGGTAGAATGACATGATTGTCTGCCAATGCTCGTCCCACCAATGATGTATGGAGGCCGTCCCATTTGGCCAACCTCTGCAGGGCAGTTTGCACTAGCGCTTGACCATGGTCAGGAGGGTGGGGCACTCTGATTGCCTCTTCTTTCGGTTTCCAACTATCAGGTGGGTCGTCCGAGTGTACGCCCTGAGAGGACATCCACCAACCCTCGCTTTTGAGGCCCTGATGAGAACCGTGAGATCGTCAGCAAAACAAGACGTGACCGACACTAGGTGGGGGGGCAGTTCTGGAATGTCAATGCGTTGGATGGTGGGATTCGCTCGAATCATTGCTGACAGGGCCTCCATAACAAGGACAAATAAGAGGGGGGCGATCGGGTCCCCTTGCCTGACTGACCGTTGCAACGTGAACGGAGGGGACAAATGACCATTGACCATGATGTTTGTGGCCGCTGACCAATGCATGATGGAAACCCATGCGTTGAACGAGTCTCTGAAGTTCATTCTTTGTAGACAACAATCCATGAAGTCCTAGTCAACGTGGTCGTACGCTTTTTCAAAGTTTGTGGAAAGGACTGTCACTTCCTTACCGTGTTGGTGGGCGTATTTAATGGTTTCGTTTTCCTTGATGTGTCAATATGGCATGAAACCGGCTTGATCTTGGTAGTTCAAGTGGTTCATGTGTGGGAGCAACCGGTTGGTAAGGGTTTTGGAGACTATCTAATAGGGGAGAGGGAGTGTAATTGGGCGGTAATTCCTCACCTTCTCTTTCGCTCCTTTCTTGTACAACAGTGTGGTGACCCCCTGGCTAATGAGTCCCCCGGAAGATCCTTCACTCCACGCCGCCTGAACATAGGCAATAATGTTGTCCTGGAAGGTACTGTTACGGACTCCGCCAGGGCTCGACCCCCGGTCTATGTTGTTGCTGTTTTTGCTACATCCCGTTTTTGGCCTGGCACCCTTTTTTTCAAACCCCTCCTTTGGTACCGTCAGATTTTGGACAACTGGCGCCATGCTACAATTCGGGCGCCACTTTCAAATACCGCATTTTTCAGTTCTACCCTCGGGGCTTTTGCAGAGATGCCTCTGGTACCGTACGTGTCACCGACACTTATACCGGTTCCCCGTACAGTACGGGGAACCAGTCTCGTACCAGTTTCAACTACTGTACTCGTACTCAGTGGGACTTGCTCCTATTTTCAGCATTAGAAATCCAAGACTTCGACTTTGTGTCCTTGCCACTGTGTCTGCATGCGACCCTGAGTCGTGTCGAGTGAGTGAGTGTGTGTGTGTGCTCTCACTCTCTCTCTCCCCTCTCCCTCGGCTCTCCCTGTCTCCCTCAACCTCGCGCTCGTTACACTAATATCGAAGCGGTTCGAACCCGCCCGACCCACCCTACTTCGTCACCGTGCCACGTCATCATCGTCATCGTCATCGTCGTTGCCGTGCCACGTCATCATCGTCATCGTCATCGTCATCGTCGTTGCCGTGCCACGTCATCATCGTCGAGAACGTCGTCGTTGTGCCACGTCATCATTGTCATCGTCGAAATAGTCGTCGTCGCGCCACGTCATCGTCGTCGCCGTGCTCGTCGTCCTCGTCGTTGCGCCACGTCATCCTCGTCATCGTCGTCGCTGTTCCACGGCGCAGATAAGTAACCGACGAAAATTTTCTTTTTTTATTCTTTTCTTCTTCTTCTTCTTCTTCTTCTTCTTCTTCTTCTTCTTCTTCTTCTTCTTCTTCCAATTATCTTCTTCTTCTTCTTCTTTCTCTTCGTTCTTTCCTTCTTCTTCTTCTTCTTCTTCTTCTTCTTCTTCTTCTTCTTTTTCTTCTTCTTCTTGTCGCGACCCCGATCCTGCTTCCCCCCCGACTCCGATTCTCCTCCCGTGCAACCTTCCCCCGCCTCGATCGTTCCCCCCCCCCCCCCCCCCCCGCTTCGCCCCCCCCCGACCCCAACTCCGCCCCGTCCCCCACACCTGACCCCAATCCCGCTCCCACCCACTGCGCCCAATCCCGCTCCCGCCCCCCTGATTTTGATCCCACTCCCGCCCCCGCTACCGCTCCTCCACCCGATCCCGATCCCACTCCCGCCTACGAAACACCCTCGGCGGCGGACAAGCACGGCCAATCCACGGATGCGCCACTTTGCGGACGCGTGGCGGCCGTTGGGGAGGGGGGTTGGGGATTTGGAAAGCGCCATGGGGCAGCGCATCTCAAGCCCC